CGCACACGCTAGGGGAAAAGGCAGCTCAGATAGAGAAGGGAGCACCAAACAAAGGGTGTTGGGAGGATCTTTCCATTTTCTCGTGTCCTCTTTTATTTCCTTAAGTAGTGTTTTGTAGTTTTCTTTGTACAGATCCTTTACTTCCTTAGTTAAGCTGATTCCTAGGTACTTGATTTTCTGGGGCACAATTATGAACGGGATTGTTTTTTGATGTCACTTTCTTCTCTCTCACTACTTGCATATATGAAAGCCATGGGCTTTGGGGTATTAATTTTATAGCCTGCAACTTTACTGTACAAGTCTATTGTTTCTAGGAGTTTCTTTGTAGAGGTTTTAGAGTTCTCTAAGTATAGTATCATATCATCTGCAAATAGTGAGAGCTTGATTTCTTCCTTTCCTACCTGAATGCCCTTAATATCTTTATCTTGCCTAACTGCTATTGCAAGTACTTTCAGTACTATATTGAACAGCAATGGAGAGAGTGGGCATCCTTGTCTCATCCCTGATCTTAGAGGGAAAGCTGTCAGTTTTTCCCGAATTGAGGATGATGCTTGCTGTAGGCTTGTGGTAGATGGCTTTAACAATATTGAGGAAACTCCCCTCCATACCCAATTTGGCGAGGGTTTTCATCATAAACGGGTGCTGGATCTTGTCAAATGCTTTCTCTGCATCTATTGATATGATCATATGTTTTCATCTTTTCTTTTGTTGATATGATGGATTATGTCAATTGATTTCTGAATGTTAAACCATCCTTGCATTTTGATTACAGTTTCAATTTCCTTGATGTTAATAGGTCTTTTCAGGTACTCTAGATCTTCTTGATTCAGCCTTGGGAGATTATAGGAATCCAGGAATTTATTCATTTCTTCTAGGTTCTCTTGTTTCATAGCATACAGACTTTCAAAGTAGTCTCTGATGATCTTTTGAATTTCTTTGGTTTCTGTTGTGATATCCCCCTTCTCATTCCTGGTTCGGTTTATTAGGGTTCTCTCTCTCTCTCTTTCTTTGTGAGTCCTGCTAGTGGTTTATCTATCTTATTTATTTCCTCAAAGAACCAGCTCTTGGTTTCACAGATCTTTCGGATTGTTTTTTTGGTTTCCATTTCTTTGATTTCTGCTCTAAGTTTTATGATTTCTGGAGCGATAGCACAGCGGGTAGGGCGTTCGCCTTACACGCGGCCAACATGGCTGACGCGAGTTCGATTCCTCCGCCCCTCTCGGAGAGCCCGGCAAGCTACCGAGAGTATTCGATATGCCAGACACAGTAACAACAAAGTCTCCAATGGAGACGTTACTGGGCCCGCTCGAGCAAATCGACGATCAACGGGAGGGCCTTTACCTTTACCTTTACCTTTCCTTCTTCCTGATTTGGGCTCCTTTTGTTGATCCTTTTCTAAGATCTTGAGTTGTGAAGTCAAGTTGTTTATGTGGGCCCTTTCTTCCTTCTTGAGAAATGCTTGCAGAGCTATAAATTTTCCCCTTAACACTGCTTTAGCTGCATCCCATAGGTTCTGGTAGCTCGTGTCTTCATTCTCATTTGCTTCCAGGTATCTTTTGATTTCATTCTTGACTTTCTTCCTGACCCACTTGTTCAACATTGAGTTGTTTAATTTCCAGGTGTTTGATTTGGTTCTCCGTGTCTGTGTATGATTTACTTCTATTCTCAGTGCATCGTGGTCTGAAAAGATTGTTGACACTATTTTTATCTTTCTGATTCTATTGTATCCTAGCACATGGTCTATTTTGGAAAATGTTCCATGTGCACTGGAAAAGAATGTGTAGTCTTTCTTTTTGGGGTATAAAGCCCTGTATAGGTCAATAAGCCCTCTCTCTTCTATTTTTTCCTTCAAAGCCAATGTTTCCTTGCTGAGTTTTGTTCTTGTTGATCTATCCAGAGGTGATAAGGTGATATTGAAGTTTCCAGCTACTATTGTGTTGCTAGCAATGTCCTCCTTAAAATCTGTTAGCAGTTGTTTTAAATATTTAGCTATTCCCTCATTAGGTGCGTATGCATTTAAGAGTGTGATTTCTTCCTGTTGTACATATCCCTTGATGAATAGAAAATAGCCTTCGCTGTCCCTTCTAATCTTTTTCAACCTGAAATTTATGTTGTCGGATACTAGTATGGTCACCCCAGCTTTTTTGAGGGAACTGTTTGCTTGCAGGATTGTTTTCCATCCTTTAACTTTGATTCTGTGTTTGCTCTGACTGTTGAGTTTCTTGTAGGCACCAGAATATTGGGTTCTGTCTCTGTATCCATTTTGCCACTCTGTGTCTCTTAATTGGTGAATTTAGATCATTGATGTTGAGAGAGATTATTTTTATGGGGTTTTGTGTCATCTTTCTGTAAGGGTCTGTTGTACTTGTAGGGTTTGTCTTGTCTTATAGTAGCCCCTTTATCCCTTCTTTTAGGCTTGGTTTTGAGTCTATGAAGTTCCTGAGCTGCTGTTTATCTAGAAAATAGTGTACCCTTCCTTTGAGTTTGAGTGGAGTTTAGCCAGATAGAGTATTCTTGGTGAAGCGTTCATTTCGGTGAGTTTTTTCACTATATCCCGCCATTGCCTTCGGGCTTGGAGGGTTTCCTCTGACAGGTCTGCTGTGAATCTAAGGGGTGCTCCTTTGTATGTGATTTCCTTCTTTGACCTTTCTGCTGCAGTATTATATCTTTATCTGTGGCATCAATCATTCTAACTATGATACGTCTTGGAGTGTTTTTGTTAGGGTCTCTTTTAGCTGGCACAGACTGAGTTTTTTTTTTTTTCCCTTTATTTTATTTTATTTTTTTTAAAGTTGTAGATTTACAATTTTTTGTGCTTTGGTTTCAATTATACAATGATCAGATACCCATCCCTCCACCAGTGCCCATTTTCCACCACCATGGATAATATCCCTCCCACCCCCATCCCCCCATCCCCCCCGTCTCTGTGGCAGGGCAATCCCCTGTGTTCTCTCTCTCCTTTTGGGTGTTGTGGTCTGCAAAAGAGGCATTGAGTGGCAAACATGTTCAGTCCATAGTCTACTTTCGACATGCATCTCCCCTCCTGGGAGGATCCTCCAAACATCCTTTATTTGGTGCTCCCTTCTCTATCTGAATAGCCCTTTCCTCTAGGATACCCGGCTGGCCTCTAAGTTATGGAGTAATCCTCCTGGTGCTGGTCTCAGCTATTCTTGGGTATTAATCTCATACTTTGTTACTTTATATCCCCCAGATGAATGCAATCTTTCTATGTCTATCCCTCTCTTTCTGACTCATTTCGCTTAGCATGATACCAGACTGAGTTTTTAATTTCAACTACAGAATCTTTAATTTCATCTATAGAATCTTTTATTTGTGACATTTCTGTGCATAGTTTTTCAGTTTCTTCTCTCATTTCTTCCCGTAATTTCTCGATTGTTTCACTCATGTTACTGGATACCTGTCTCACTGTTTCACTGAGCTCATTGAACATCTTCATACTTCATATCTGAATTCTTTCTCAGAGAGGTCATTTAGGTGAGTACTACCTACTGAGGCTTCTGGACTCTTATCATCATCCTCCCCACGTGGTGGGGATTTGCGTTGTTTCTTCATGTTGGTGTGGAGGTATGGGGACTGAAATGTTACACTAGATATCTTGGTATGACTAAACTACTTGTGGCCACATGAGCATCTGTCAGTCCCAAATAGGCCACACTCACTTCTAAAGAAGCCACACCCACTTCTGAAAAGGCCATGCCTCCACGGGTACCCGGTATGTGTAGAGGTACAAGGTGGGAGGGGAAGAAGACTGGCACAGCGTTGGGGACGAAGAGAAAGAGGCTCAGGGATGCTGTTGTCCCAGGGTCCTAGAGGAGGCCTGGGGCGCTTGCACGGAGAAAGCCAAGTCCCAGGTTCAAATACTGGTGGGTTAAACTGACCTGGGAGAGGAAGAAGACCGATATAGCATTGGGGACAAAGAGGAAGAGGCTCAGAGATGCTGTCATCCCAGGGTCCTAGAGAACACCTGGGGCGCTTGTGCGGAGAAAGCCAAGTCCCATATCTTATTTTCCTAAAAGTAGAGTTCATGTTGTGAATAAAATATCTCCATAAAAATCTGCTGAACTTAATATTTAATGCTAAGGCAATTCTTCAAAAAAAATTAGAGTACAGCATCTTTCCTCTCTTGACTTTTTTGCTGTTGTTTTGGCTTTTTTTGTGCCAAAAGATTACTTCTGGCTCTGAGCTGAGGGGTTATTTCTGGTGGGGCTGAGAGAGATTAAAATGGGGTACTGGGTACTGAACCTGGGTGAGCTGTGTGCATGGCAAGCACATTACCTGCTGTACCATCTTTTTTTGTCCCTACTTAATTTTGATTTTTCATAGGTTAAATGACAAGGCTTCTCTAAACCTCTCAACAACTTTCTTCCTTCTCCACCTAAAATCACCCACATTCACTTTCCATTCCCCTGGCCTATCTTCTAGTTCCTACTACAAAGCAGCCTTCATTTGAACTAGCTAGGCTTTCTATTTCCTTTGTGGTTTTTCAATTACACCTGCTATGTTCAGGTGTTTTTCCTGTCTCTGTGTTCAGAGGACCATATAGGATGCAGGAAATTGAACCCAGGATGGTCGCATGCAAGGTGAATACCCTATCCACTGTACTATAATTCCAGCCCCCAAAACTAGATGAACTTTTGAGATTTTACTGTGCCTTCTCTAAGGAAATCAATTTCTCTAAATTGATTCTAGAGGAATCAATTGTTGATAATTGGTTTCTCTACAATTAAGGGTAGCATCCAAATCTTAATCTGCATTATACACTTAATTACCATGTATGCCGTATTCTATTTGGTTCTGCAACCATGTTGCAAAGTCACAACCATGTTGTAAGTGACTTACCTAACCCCTCCAGATCTGAGGGTATGAATTAATTCTAAATAGAAAATAATTTTAATAACACTGATAAAAATAGAACAATGTTTCTAGTGCACGTATTTTTTACATTCAGCCTAAATTTTTATTTACTTTGAAGCACTTACATTATTATTGTGAAGATATTCAATGGCTCGAAGGATCTGGAAGAGGTATTTTCTAAGTCGTTTACTCTCTAGTCCATGACAATAATGTTGTAACTCATCTAATACTGTATGGTCAATAAATTCAAACACCAAATGAATTTTCTTTTTCTGTCTAAAAACTTCAATTAGATTGACCAGGTTCTCATGGCGAAATTGCTATTGACAAAAGAAACAATAATTTCAAATAAATTATCTCATGTACAATGCTTACTTCATTTAACACATGATTTTGAAATATTCTGTGCCTCTTTTCCTCTACGATTTCCTTTCTTTTTTTTTTTTTAGGCCACATCCAGCAGTATTCAGGGAATACTGAGATTAAAACTCTTGAAGTTAAAGGCAAGTACCATATTTGCATTATAAATTTATCAACTGTAACAAAAGAATATAAAAATATCTGAAAATGTTTCTGATGAAATACCTCTTTATATCCATAAAAAATTACAAACAAAATTATGTATTGGTACTCTTTTGTTAGTTTTCTATAATATTCTATTAGGCAATAAAATACGTTTTCTGACTGATAAAAGTCACTCCTCAAATAACTTCTTAATGTCCAAAATGGCTAGTCAAATTAAAAAATGAATAAGATTTAATATTTTATGCAAGTGACTCTACCTTTAACACATAACTTAAATATATTCTCAAATATTTTTTCCTAATTATCATAAAATTATTTACATGTGTAAAAATTAGGGGTACATCATCTTCGATATTAGATTCATTAGAAAACTATATACCTTTATGAGAAGTTTTGCCTTTAATCCAATGGCACAGTATCAGTTTTTCAACTTACCTGAAAAAATATATAAAGTCCTTAAAGAATGACTAACAGAGAAACTTGCCAGAATATAAGATTAGATTCCATTCTTGCTTTTGCTCCCAGTTTCTCTGTTTGGCAAGATGCCATAGTGCTACAGCAACAGCATGCTGGCTCTAGGGAAAACAGACTGCTTTGGAGGCTAGACAGGCAGTTCAATGGGTGATAGCACATACTATCAGTTCAGTCCCTGGCACCACATGATTCTCTGAGCACCACCAGGAGTGACTCCCAACCTCCAAGCAAGGAGCAGACCCTGAGCACTGCCAGGTGTTGCTGAAAAGAAAAATAAATTAAAAGACCCCCAAAATAGATTGTTTGGAACACTACAAAATTAATCCTTCAACTAGGGAAAATTACTGGTTTTCTATATTGAGTTTATTTTAAAAGCAGAAATAGTGCTTAATGTGAATTAATAAGGAATTAGAAACTACATCACATAAACCATGACCATCCCTAATAAAGGCTCCCGAAAATACCCTTTTACAAGTTGCTTACTTTCATTACAAGGCAACTTTTTTAAGTTCTTTTTGTTTTTGTTACTGTTTTTGTTTTGGGGTAACATCCAGCTGTGCTCAGGTCTTACTTTTGGCTCTGAGTTCAGGAATCACTTCTGGTAGGGTTTGGGGACCTATATGGGATGCTGGGGATGGAACCCAGGTTGGCTACATGTAAGGTAAGATCTTTACTCCCTGTACTATTTCTCCGGCCACAAACTTTTCTATATTTTTACTACTGAACTATAGTTTAATAAAATTTTAGCAAGAAAAAAGTTTAAGTAGTTACGGTTTTATACAAAGGAGTACTAATCGAAGAATTAATCCAGTAGAATTAAACAAAATCAAACCAAAAGTTCTTTTGTTGAGGGGGAGGGCGGTGGGTAATGAATGACACACGACAGTGGTCAGGGATTACTCCTGGATCTGTGCTCAGAGATCTTTCTTGGTGGTGCACAGGGTATTATTTATGGTACCATTAACTCCCATTCTACTTTTCCAGTCCCAAACCAATCCTATAAGAAATAAACTGAGGGGCCTGAGTGATAGTAAAATGGGTACTTGTTCAATAGGTACTCTTGCCTTGCATGCAGCCAACCCAGGTTAGATTCCTGGCCTATCATATAGTCCCCCAAATACCGCCAGGAGTAATTCCTGAATGCAGAACCCTGAGTAACCACTGAGCATTGCCAGATGTGACCCACAAACAAACAAATCAAAAAAAAAAAGGAAGAAACTGAGAACAACTAGTCTCAACATAGATTGTATATAGATTCTGATGGGGAGGGGGTTCTCTGGGTCATACTCTAGGCAGGGCTTACTCCTGACTCTGTGCTCAGAGCCTGGCAATGACTGGAGGACCAAATACAATGCCAGTGATTGAACAAGTGTTGGCGACATGCAAATCAAGTGCCTATATTTCTATACTCTGAGATCTCTGCATAATAATTTGAATATAAACATATGCTTTTTATTTTTGTTTCTGGGAGCTTGGGGGCCATTTCTGGCTGTGTTTGGGGCTTACTACTGGTGGTGCTCCAGAGATATTATGGTAGCAGGGATAGAACCAAGCTCTGCATGCCAGACAAGGGCCTTAACTCCTATACTAGCTCTCTGGCTGGTAATGTACACTCATTTTTTATTTTCCGGTCACACCCAAAGATGCTCAGGGATGGCTCCTGGCTCTGTGCTCAGGAAGAGATCATTCCTAACAGTGTTCAGTGGACCATATGGGATGCTGGGGATTGAAGCCAGGTAGGCATGCAAGGTAAATATTCTACCCATTATACTATTCCTCTGATCCTTGTAACATACACTTTAAGTTCACAACTTACCTCTGTGTTGTTACCATGTATTGAATTTTGTTGAGTGTGTGTGTGTGGATTGCTTTTTGTTGTTGCTGCTGTTGTATTTGGGGGGTGGGAGAGGTGTTACACAAGTGGTACTCATAGTCACACTTCTCTTGCTGCTTCTGGATCAGTCCTACCAGTTTATTCTGGAGTTCCAGCAAATAAACCATGTGCTCCAGGCTGTTGAATTACCTTTCTGGTCTCCACATACTCGTAATTTTTATAAAATAATGAAGTAGTGAAAAAAATTAACTTAAACACAACAAAAGTGAAGAGTCAAAGATATTGCCTAGAAAGATGGGGGAGGGTATTTGCCCTGCCGCAGCTGACCCAGGTTTGATCCCTGATATCCCATATGGTCCCCTGAGGGAGGGAGGGAGGACATTACATTTTAGGACATCAGAATAGGGATAGTAAAGGGGTAAGGTGCTTGCCTTGCATGTGGCTGACCCTTGTTCAATGCCCAGAACTGCAAGGAGTGATCCCTCAACACAAAGCCAGGAAAAACCCTGAGAACAATCAGATGTGACCCAAAAGAAAAAAAAAAGTCAGAGCAATAGTATGTATGGTGAGCAGGTAGCACACTTGCCTTGAAAGCCACTGACCTGTGTTTAATCCCCAGCACTGCATATGGTGTCCTGAGCCTGCCAGGAGCTATTAGTCCTGAGCACTATTGGGTGTGGGCCCCAAACCAACCAAAAAGCCCCAAAACAAATAATTAAGCAAAGAGAAGCAAAGGACATTAGGATAAGGACTGGTATTTTATAAAAATTATAATTTGAGCATACTCAGTAATGCGAGGGGGGGTTATTGCTGGCCGCTTGTTCATTATGTTTTAACTTTGTATTGTCAAGAAGTATGAAAGGGGCTAGAGTGACAGCATAATGGGTAAGGCATTTGTCTTGCATGGCACCTGACCTGGGTTCAATTCCCAGCACACCATAAGGTCCCCCAAGCATCACCAGGAGTAATTCTTGACTGCAGACAGAAATGAAGAGTGACCCCTGAGCATTGCCAGGTTTGACCCAAAAACTTAAAAAAGAAAGAAAAGTGTAATAGATATCTATCGCATATATTTTTTAATAATAATTTTAAAAATGAAGTCTGGAGTGATAGCATAGGAGGCAGGGTGCTTGCCTTGTATGTAGCCAATCCAGGTTTGATCCTGGGCACCCCATATCCCTGAGCACCACCAGGAATAATTCCTGAGTGCAGAGCCAGGTGTAATCCCTGAGCACTACTGGGTGTTCCCCCATCCTCCCACAAAGCAAATTAAAGCACTGTATCTGATATAGATATGAAAATATACTTTAGGGTGCTAGGGATGTTGCTCAGGGGCAGAATACTGACTAGCATGGGTGAGGTCTTGGGTTCAATTCCCAGCATCCTAAAACAAACAAACAACAACAAAAAAACCTAAAACTTTTACTTTGTTTCAAATAAAAATGAATAAAATATTTCATAATCACATACCAAACATCTGTATTGTCAAAGTCAGGAACCTTAAAGCACTGACAAATACATCCACATAAATTTTATATTAAAAATCACTCATGTTGTACCTAAATCCTAAGAAACAAATTGCTCCTTTCTTCACACTCCTGGGTTTCTCCTGGTCTAGGCAGTCATACTTACACGATTTTAATTTCTGTACTGATTTTTTCAATATTGTTTTTCATTTCTATAAACACCTACAGTCATCTTTATTAAATGTACTCCTGCTATCACCTCAAATTCAACATTTCTAAAACTGAGCAAGTAGTTGTTTTAGTTCCTTTCTATTTCCATCAAAGGTAGATAGCATTCAGTGGACTTGAGATACTTGTGATATCTCCTCTTCCTAATTCCCTCTCATCTCTTAAAACATGCCATGTTCTGGGGACTGGAGTGATAGCACAGCAGGTAGGGCATTTGCTTTGTACCCAGCTGACCCGGGTTTGATTCCCAGCACCCCTTTTGGTCCCCTGAACACTGCCCAAAGAAATTCCCGAGTGCAGAGCCAGGAGTAACCCCTGAGCATCGCTGGGTGTGACCCAAAAAGCAAAAAAACAAACAAACAAAAATATGTTCTAACTTAACTTTCTTCAAATTGCAGCAACCAGCAATGACATTATGTTCATCAGCATTCCTGCATTAAACTCATAACATCATGCCCTATTTTTTTCAATCTTGCACACCAAAGCAGTAGAGTTAACTTACTTTCTTTACACTGAATTCAAAACATACCACCATGTACAAAATCAGATTTGAATCCTTAGCCTAGGACTTTAAAAATTCACCTCTAAACTACTCTCCAATTTTACCTTTCCCCACTTCTATACAGGAAACTCTATAAGCAAATGCCTCTTTGTCCTGATTACTCAGTTCCTTGATTACTCAGTTCCTTATTTTTTGTAATGCTTTAGCTTCTTTGGGTTTATTCAATTCTCCTAGCCTGGAATAGAATAGTTTCACCCTCTTATCTAAATTCTATATATTTTCTAAAGCTAAATTCATGTCCCATTTCCTCCAAGAAACTTCCCTACACAATAGAAATTTTTGTTAGCCATTTGGAATGTATTTTGAGCCACTTTATTTTTTAACACAGAATTGTTTTTTCTTTTTGGGCCACACCTGGCAACGTTCAAGGCTTACTCCTGACTCTGTACTCAGGAATTACTCATTGGTGCTCCTCAGGGGACACATGGAATGCCAGGGCTGAAACCCTGGTCAGCTGCTTGCAAAGCAAGATCCCTATTTGCTGTACTGTGTCTCTGGCACCTACTCTGTTTTTCTGGTTCATACAAGTTCTAAAGAGGATATACTTACTTTTGCCTCCTTTTAATCTCAGCATCTAGCCCAATGCCTTGCACAAAGCAAACTTTTTTTTTTTTTAATTGGGTCACATTTGCTCATGGTTCTATGGTGAGGGATCATTCCTAGTGAGGCTTAGGGGACTGACCATATGGCCAGGGATAAAACTCAGACCCGCCACATGCAAGGCGAGCACTTTACCCCTGCACCATCTCTCCAGACCTCAGTGTTATATGTGAATATTTCTAGTTTCTTTTCCAGTACCTATCATAGTCTTCATTGCATTGTACAGAAGCACACACATTTTTGTTATCACTATAAAATTATAAGACAATGTATTTGTTTCTCTATTATGTTCCAAAACACGTTTCTCATGTCTCACATGTTGCAAAATGTTTTCACTTACCTGCAATATTCTTTATATAACTTTTTTTATTCCTAACAAATCCTTGTATTCTATTCCTTAGAATAATTAAAGCAAAAGAATCAAACCTTTAGAAACTTAATTTCTCTTGTTGCAATTTTGCTGACAGACTTTTCTGGATTCTCACAAAATATCTTAATGGCCACTATCTTCCCAGTGTCCTTATGTCTACATTTCATGACTGTTCCATAGCTTCCCTCTCCCACTTTCCCAAGGGTTTCATACAGCTCCATTTTCAGTCTTCTACTTCTCCATAGGCATTTAAAAAAATAAAAGAAAATATTAAACATTTAGACATTTATTCATACTGATAATGCATTCCCACATAAATCTATACTTAAAAAAAAAAAGGATTCACCCACTTTACAATACACTCTAAGTTTTGGAAGTACAGCTGTGTCTGTACCTCATGGTAAGAAAGTTCGAGTGTCTTCACACCTCAAACTGACCCTCTCCTCCCCTCATCTTCTCCCCTAATAGCCACCAAAATCTTAGGTTCAGAAGTTATTTTGTTTAACCTACATCTTTTAAATTGGGGATCTTCCACGGACACTGCTTGGTTCTGGGGACTTTGCCAGCTGCGCAGTGAGCCGTCCTTGCGTTGCTCCGGGGTCCCCGAACTCCGGAACCCTACTGCCCTAGGGCACCCCCACGCTAGGCGCGCCCGCTCGAGGTCCGGACCCCGCAGAAGTTCCCGCCATTCGTCTGCCGCTCACCAATCAGGAGCCCGGGAACCTCGGCCCCGCCCACTCCCCAAGGGTTCCCTCCTCGGCCCACCTCGCCAATGCGGTCCGAGGGGCCAGGGTGGTGTCCCCCGCTCTAGCTGACCTGGTGTGCCCACCCGCCATCGCTAAAACCCATTTTGTAGTCCCGCTGGCCTAACTCCTTAAGGCCGCGCAGGGAAACGGGACACCGACCCTGCTCAGCCCGCTCGCTGGGCCGGTCGCCTGCTGCCATGACTACGGGGTGCAGGGCCGTCTTCTGTGTCTAGTGCGCAAGACCGGAACACCGGCCGGCGCGACCCGGAAGAGAAGCGAGAAGAAACGAGTTCCTGGCGGCTGCTGAGTGAAATCCGGGTTGGGGTGGGGAGCAAGGCACCAAGAATCAAACAATGGCCTCCTCCCCAGGTTGCTTTTGAGTTCAGATGCGAAGGATCCCAATTTTGAGAGCAGTAAGAGTGACTGTAAATCCCCACAGAGAAGGGGACTCGAGGAGGGCTAGTGGGAAGTACGTCATAGATACTCACAAGAAAAAAAACACCCGTCTCCTGGCTGGGTCCTAAAATGAGGACTGGTGCCACCAAGCAAAGACAACTTGTATGACGAGATTTTCAAGAACGCCTGTATAATCGTTCGGACTTACCTAGTGACACTAATATTCCATAGACCCAAATTCGACAACGGCTATGGGTATTCATCCATAAAACATGGACAAGACACTTCTTGAGACTTTTCTGAATCCCTCCTACATACTTTAAAATACGTTCAAACTAGTAGTACTCCTTTTAAAAAAAGACCTGGCAAAAACTTCCAAACTCCCTCTGGAAAAGCAAATAATTCAACGTTCAAACACACCCGTTACATACAGAGAGAGGAAAAAAAGGTCATTAGCAAATTGCATAGACAAGGGTTTCTGCTGTAGGGACAACCTCCAAATTAATTAAGGATATCATTGGAGCAATTTTTTCTTAAAGGGCTTCAATTAAGTTTATGTAAAATGAATTAATGTAAAGGGCTATATCTCATTTGTTTCTCAGAAAGCAGAATATTCAGTAAACTCTCATTCAATTGGGCCCACCTCACCAGGCTCGTTAAATTCACATTTGGAAAATATACACATACAGAAACATACAATCTTGATTTAAATGACATGGCAAAGAAATTGATACTTTAAGATTCACAAGTATTTCAGTGCTGCTAAGGTCTATTTCTAGAGAGAAGTGGAAAGGGAAATGGTAGGTTTTATTTAACTCAAATATTGAGGACTGCCTTTTACTGTTTTACAACATGTTATAAAATACTATAATGAATATTATAGTAAATCTTAGAGGAGAATCAAATTTATTGAAAGCATACTTATTATGGGTTAAACATTTGCAAGGACAAATTATGAATTAGACATTTATTTGCTCTCAGTCAGATCATAATCTGAAACTACAGAATCACTACAGTGTAAAATTGTAGCTTTAAAACAGAGAGAGAAAGAGAGAGAAAAAGAGAGAAAGTGTCTACTATGGGGGGTATTGGCAGGGAAAAAAAGGGACACTGGTGAAAGGATGGGTATTGGAACAATGACTGAAATGCAATCATAAGCAACTCTGTAACTACCTCACAGTGATTCAGTAAAAAGAGGGAAAAAAACTATTCTTTCTACAAGTAGGTTTCAACACGACTAGTAACCGGGACAGTGAATGATTCTGATTATACACTGTCCTAAGAATCGAATGAAATAACCTGATTCTGTAGAAAATGTTACTTCATTTTATTTTAGTTTTTGCTTTTTGGGTCACACCCAGAAATGCTCAGGGGTTACTCCTAGCTCTGCACTCAGGAATCACTCATGGCAGTGCTCAGGGGACTATATGGGATGCCAGGAATTGAACCTGGGTCGGCTGCATGCAAGGCAAACGCCCTACCCGCTGTACTATCACTCCAGCCCATGACCTGACTTTAGAAAACCATAAACTATGGATTTCCAAAAAGCAATTATAAACTGGTAAATTACTTAATATTTTTCTTAGATCAAGTAAAGGCACTCAGGGGGCCAACCCCCGGTTGAACCGCCATTGGAACTGCCAGGCACTGCCTGAGCGCAATCAGGAAGAGCCTCTTGAGTACCACTGTGTGGACCTAACTGCCCCCTCCCCACACATTTTTTTCCTTATAAAGTGTTCTCTCTTTAGTATTTTTCATTTCATATAACCCTACAGGTATGTCTTTATCTTTAGCCGTGGGAAATTAGAATTCCCTATAGAAGGAAGGGAAAGAGTAAAATAATATTTTGCTATAACTTGTAAAAATCTCATTTATATACCCCATGGATCTATTCAAAGCTAAACTGGTCATCTTTACTAACCACAGGAATTACTAAAAGCAAGAGAGAATTCAGGTTTTGGAGAAAGGGAGGTATGAGGAAAGTGGGGAAATTCAGCCTTTTTTTGATACAATGGCACTATAGGTAATTAGTAACGCCAAGGTCCTCATTCCATCTCCCAGTCCAACTCTGGCCCAAGAATCCCCCAAATGAATCTGAAAATGCTCAACATCCTCTTACTCAACGAAGTCCTAAATTAAAGGAACTAGAGGCAACAAAGGGAGAGAATCAAGGATCTACAGCAACATAACTTCATCCCCCATTTACACTTTACTGTATCTAGCAAAGAACACCTGAAATGAGTTGGCCAGCAAGATACAATCCCATGCACTTCTGCGTTACTTTCCCATTCATATCTAAGCAATGTTTTAGATTTCCTTGACAGCCAATTACACATCAAGAAAACGAGATCATGGCCCCCTTATAAAAGTAGCTAAATCCTTGAGAGCAGAAAGGAAAATACAAAATCTGAGGCCAAAGCGACAGTACAATACGAAGGATGTTTACCTTGCATATGGCAGACCCAGGTTCGATCCCTGGCACCCCATATGATTTCCTGTTCCCCTCCAGGAGTGATCCCTGAGTGAAGAGCCAGTAGTAAGCCCTGAGCACCGCCAAGTGTGCCCTTACCCCCCAAAAACCCAAAATACAAAATTTGCTAATTCCCTGACGATTATTAATAAACCTGTACAGTTTTATCATCTTTGTTCAGGCTTTTCAACCCAGTTTATCCCAGTGCAAAATACAGACAGGTCGCTTCAAGCCCTAAAGAGACAGTTCAGGAGGGGATACTTTTTGTGTCTAATCAACATTCAAGGCTACTACACTTAGAAAAACTACAGAGCCCTTCAATCTTCTTTACCAACGTACCAGGTTTGATATGCCGTTCAACTAACCAGTCCAAATTATTTGTGGTTCCATTTTAAAGACTTAAGCAGCTGTTGCCTCCACCACGACCACTCCGACTGCTAACCCAATACATGGGATAACCTGGAGGGCAAACAAATTAAGGTGCATCCCTGTTCTCAGCCTCGTAAATTTATCACTGGGCTACATAGCTCAGACAGAAATTCAGGTCCGAGCCACCAGCTCACGTGACCAGTTCTAATAGCGTCACAGGGACACGTGGTTCTAGATACTTCGCCCTCTCCCCTCTTCCCCCTCCCGGGTGGATTGTTGACAACGCCGCCGGCAGTCACGTGACCTTACGTCATTCCACCTCCTTCCCTGAAATCTCTGGCCCCGGATGCGTCCCTCTCTCCCCACCCGGTTGAGCCTAAACTACTGAAATAGGGGAGGCCGGGATGGTGTTTCTGTCTCATTGTTCCTTAATCCACAACCTTAAAGCCTTGCTACGGATCACAGTAATTTTCCGATTAAGTTAGAAAGCCACAGTGGGTCGGACCCCGGCCGAGAGATTCCCACCACCAGCGTTCGTGCCCCACGTCCCCTTCCGCACCCCCTCATTACGTGGTACCGGCCGAGGGCGGAGGGATCTGGAGGCGGCGGAGGGAGACGTCATTGCAGGGTTGTTTGTGCAGCCCGGTGGCGGCGGTGACCCACAGTGATTCGGCCGCCGCGCCGGGGGGTGGGGGGGCTGCGCGGGACTCTTTTCTTTCAGACTGACCGCGGGGCAGCTGGGGAGCATGTCGACCCCGGCCCGGAGGAGGCTCATGCGGGATTTCAAGCGGTAAGAGCCTTCACCTTCACCCGGATGACGGCTCCTCCCCAAAGCTGCGGGGTTGCAGGGCGGGGATCCGGGACACCTTCTCTCTCTTGACCCTGAGGAGGGCTGACTGTGGGCCCCGCGGGACCGTCGGAAAGCCAGTCTTGGCCACCTTTTCGCACTCCTTCACCCTTGCTTGCTCACTCTGCCGAGCTCAGAGCTTTCGCCGTGTCCGCCGCAGAGTGAAAAGGAGGTGGCCGGTGTGCCGGGCCTGGGATTTCCTGCTGCCCGCCACAGCCAGCTGCCCGACGTCTCGCCCCGCGCCCGGACCTCATCCTCGCGTCCCCTTCCCCGCCCCATTCCGTGCCTGCAGCGTGTTGTGTCTCCTCCCTGTCCCGGAAAAAGCGAGCCCTTGCAGAAACTAGTTCCCCGCCCGCTGCACCAGCCAGCTTTGTTCGATGGGCTTGCGAGCTCCTCGGAGAGCCGCCGGGTTAGGGCGAAAGGCTCTCCCCTCCCTTTTCCCTCTGCAGCGCGAGAGCCGGAGGTGGTTAACCCATCCTCCGAAACCCGACTC